AGTGCTCCAAACTAGGCTACCCCCCCCCCCCACCCCCAATCACGGTGCCGGTATCGAAAGGGTGAGAGGACGGCAGCTGCCTCTCGCTATGCTGTCGATGTCGCTGTCACACACTCATCGTCCTCGGCGCACCACCCGCCCAGCATCGCTCATCCGGTCGAGTTCCATGGCATATTTACCCTCGCTGTCGTTAACGTTACCGCCGTAGCCCCGCCGCCGCTCTCGCCGCGAAAACGCGGGTGCTCTGACCGTTCTCCCCAACGATGTAGCGAGGGGGGCAACAGTCGGAAACAGCCGCTTCCGTCTCAATTCCGCAGAGTTTTGCATCGAATGCAATGGCGCTCTCATTGATGACGGCTGCGCCTTTTGAATCTCCGACGCCCGCAAAAGCCGCAGCACCCTCCTCGCCTCTCTCCGCTACTTGACATAAATCGCACGGAACTTGCTGTCCCAGTATACACCCTCTCTCTGCTGTTCCGGTCCACGATGGCTTTTCCGTAGCAGCTGGTAAACAGTATCCATTGGCCACGGTTCCAGATTAAGTAGTCAATAAATCCAAAAAAGATCGTCGGCCCCTTTGTGTTGCCCGACTCAAGAGACAGCTCAGACGTCAAAAATCTGCTGCTCACACCAGGCCATCACTATCGTGTTTGTGTGCGGCGGCAGCGGCAGCAGCAGCAACTTCGTCTAATGCCGAAGGAGCCAGAAGATTTGACCAAGACCCGAAAGAGAGTGACAGACATGAGGGATCGAGGCAAGCAGGACCTCGCCCTCCCATGCCCATCTTGACCCATCTATCTCGGTACATCAGGACTACGCCGAGCACCCCCGACCAAGAGGCCGTGGCCGCTACTGACACGGTGGCTGAGGGAGCTCGAGGGGGGGGTCAAGGTGCGTGGGTGGTACCAGGTACTCCATCTACTCGATGTGGATCTGTGGGGACTTCGGGGGATACGTGGGGTGCGTGATGCGGAGGACGCAGTCCCCGGCAGCGCGCAACGTTCTCGCTTCCAGTCAAGGTCATCCTTGCGGTGTCTCTCTTGGGCTTCTAGCGCTAGGCTTGCCACCTCCTGCAATGATCACGGTGTGTACGGGCCGTAGACCATCGCACCGTCCTGGTATGGAAGTATGATGCCGCCTGGGGTTCGCAGACCAGAGGCAACACTTCTTGATTGTGGTATTAATAGTTGGGATGGACGGATTAATGTAGTATGCGTTGCGATTCAAGCGAGAGACTGCTCGACGGCCGGAGTTTGCTCCTGCTTGTACCGCTGTTGGTTTTGTGCTTCAGACCAAGCACGTGACCTCTACCCGATACTTCTCGCGAGTGGACAGCAGTAGTTGCCTTTTACCTACACGTGCGTTTCTAAGTCATCCTTTCGATTCAATGCCACATCCACCTCTATCGTGCATACCGGACGGAAACCGACCAAATCTCCTATCGGCGACTCTTCGACTTCGGTTCGGGTTCTTTGTTGGCTTACAGGCAAGCGGGCGGCGACCAACCTAAAGCAGCAAGGCCTTCACTGATTCGCTGCTGCTGCTTCTGCTGCTGCGGACACTCATCATGGAGCACCGTTATACAGCCAGCGCCTGGATGAAAGGGTCGCAAGACCGGCCAAGCCAACAAAAAACCAGACACCCAGCACGCCACCCTGCATACGACCCTCCAACCGCAACAGTACCACACACACAGCAGTCAACACCGCAACGAAAGTGCGGGTCATCGCTACCCCTTATCTCGGACGTCCACGGCTCGATTGCTCCACGACGGGTGGATGGGGCCAATCAATGGCGAAACGGGTGGCTTTGGAGAGAAGATCAGAGCTACTGTGTGCATATGTAGCTGTCTTTCGTTGCACCTACACGCAATGCACAGCAGTCTACATTGGTCGGCTTTCCTTTCTTGGCTGCTGTGGAGCAATCGAGCTTTCTTGCAAGCCGGACTGAGGGTGGGTGCGTCACACGGAGAGGGAGGAGGGGGGGGTAACATGGAGCAAGACTGCCATACCAACGCAGGACAAAAAACCGGGTACTAATGCTGGCATTCTAGCTGACTCACGCTTGAAGTAGGAGCTTAACACGTCCTGCCCGAAAGCTGCATTGTCGAGGATTCCGAAGGCAGTCCCCGTGCTTGTCCATGTCACGATAGCTGAGGCCTCATTCTGAGCAAAAACAAAGCAGACCAACAAGCAAGCGGGGTACAAGTTGATTCAAAAATCTTCCCACACGCGAAGGAACGAGCGATCGATTCACACATATTTGCCTATTCCCTCGCTGGGAACAAACATCTCCCTTGACAGGTGCAACGGGAAGGTTCTTCGCGCCCACAAGGAAGGGAGGATGTGCATGTGATGTTTACGAAGAAAACAGCGTCCCAACTCTATCCGTTCAGCGTTTTACCGCCACAAGCGACATGTCTCGCTTGCTTTCGATGAAGAAATGAAGTGCTTCGTGTCTTGGTACGCAGCGTTCGTTCGTGAATTGCCTTGTGCCAACATGTGACAAGCAATCATAATTATTCTATCTCATGCTTGCAAAGCAAATATTTCACATTCTTTGCAGCAGACAGACCTTGAAGCAGCAGCCGCGCTGCCACTGGTGCTGCTGTGCTGTCGTACAATAATCAATGCGAGCCAGTGTTTGTTTCAATTGATTATGAAAAAGACTGACGACAAGCGTCCATAACAGTACCCAACAACATGGATGGGATGAATACTCCGCCGGCACCGCCGTACTACCCCGCATGCACACGTTTACGTTTGTTTGTTGCGAAATTCTGAGCGAGAAAAAAAACAGGAACGGCCAAGGCCGGCGCGCGGACCAGAATAAGAGCGACACTACATTAGCAACGGCAGCCACCAACCCCTCGAACAGCAATCGATGATGCAATTGATGTCGCCGTTTCGCCGTACGGCTGGCAGTGATCATTGTAGCAGGAACTTTATATCGTGTAGCCTTGCGTCTCCACGAAAGGGTAACGAAGGTTCACCTATCTATCTGTTCGCCGTAAACTACGGAGTTTTCCCCCCTAGTACAGATTTCCCCCCCCCGTTGTAAGCTCCCCCCTCGGTGTTTGCCATCGGGATTGGGTTTTCGTCGATTGGCAACGACGACGTGAAACAAGCCAACTCACTTCGTGACCTCGGCAACTAGGTTACCGTTATTTTTTTTTTACCTCTTTTTTTGGGGCGGTAACCACAATGGTGGTCGAGGAGATCATGTTGTGCGGAGTGGAGAACCCTCACTCCGCGCAAGGGGGATGATCACACCACGTTGTGTTGAAATGGTCCAGTACCCTCGAGGCAGTTACACAGTGCTTATAACTGTCTCTAAAAGTGAAAGCACCAGAAAATACATGAAGTCATACGCAGCTGTCATCCCTCCGCAAGGAAGTAAGCACAAGATGCCAAAACACCCTCATCAGGATGCAGCGCACCCTTCATGCGACTCGCCGGATATCTCACGGCGCTTCGCGCTTGGTGATGTGAGAGCCTGGTCCGGTGAGAACCCGGCGTGCTACGTCCCGGCTTTGTAGGGATGCGAGGTCAATGGTCTAACGACTACGGCATGCACGACTGTGAGAACCCCCCCCCCCCGGGGTAGCGTTGGAAAAAAAAAATTACCCCCCCGCGGTACGTCAATTTCTCCCCGTGGGGGGTGGTTTCAGAAAAAAAACGATACCCTCTCCGGGGGGAAAACTCCGTAGTTTACGGTATCTACTCACGGGCGAGCCGGAATGCGACGTTTTCCCTGTCTGTTCAACAATCGAGGGGCCGGACGAATCCCCATGGCCGCTCCCGGCCCACAGACCACCGTTCGTTGTTGTGTATCCACTATAATGTAGCAATAGAGAGTCTTTTCGTACTAACCTTCACTTCGCGCGTGCATCTTTTTTGTGCGTGTGCGTGTGCGTGTGCATGTGCCGCCAAGCGATACAAGTAAGGTCGGAGAGCAGAGAAACAAGTGGCACTGTAAACTGCATGTTGCAGCATAGTGCAACAAAGACAGAAGCACCAGCCAGGAAAATGTGTGCAGAGCACAAAGGCTTGATGTTCTACATTACAATAGATCTTAATAAGGCACTTGCCCCTTTCTTCTTGCGGTGTGAATGGCCCTAAATTATTTGGTGATGCACAGGTATAGAAATGGCAGGTAGGTTTGCTTGTTACAAAATCAACCTTTCGTTCAGATGTATGTATGGGGATGGCAGGTAGGTATGCTTGTTACAAGATCAACCTTTCGTACAGACATACGCTATGACCGCGCATGCATCCTGGCAGCATTTATTATTTATTGTTGCGGGTCTTCACTTTCCAGTCAGTTCCAAGGTACTTGCCTCTACCTTCACAACTGTTGTAGAGTAGGCCTGTGAAGACTACTTGGTGCAGGTATCTCAACCTTTCGTCGAGACATTTAAGATAATCTACTTAGACACGTACATATCTACGGTGCAGTAACGAAGGAGAGGGCCGCGTCTTCATGGTCGCCTGCTCTCCTGCACAGAATGACCGGCCAGCGCGCACTGGGGGCGGGGGCGGGCGGTTCAACTTACCCTACTCCACCCATGTACACAGCCTAAACTCGAAAGACTCCGTTGTTGTCTTTTGGACTTTGTTGATGATCTGACTCAGACGACAACGCAACAAAAAATGTGGCGCGTACTCCGCAGCTGGGCCCTTACCTACAACTCCCGCGTACGGAGTACTCACCACGAACGCCGAAGTTATCAGCGAGCATGCGGGGAGTTCCGCAAGCAGGCAAGAAAGTCTCGCGTGCGGGGAGGCTTTGGGCGCCGCACGGCAAACGGAGTGTTCTAAGTTCGTGTTTATTACGGCTTTCTTAATTGGTGCCGCTGCCGGAGATGAGACAAGTATTGGGAGGCACAGAACAATCTTGGGGTGCGTAGTATCCCTCGTGTACCAGTAGTTGTTGTCGGAGAACAGTTATCTTCGTCGGAACATCTGTACCCCGTGGATGTGAGGGACCGGTCGGTACAAAATTCGGTGCTTCATTCTATAGGGCACGGTTCGATTTGTGTTCGCTGCCTGCCGCCGCCGCCGCCGCCGCGAAACTTCACTCAAATCAAGCGTTTCGCATACGGCGATTTGTAAGTGGCAGCGTACGACCAAAAGTTTGTTGTCAACAAAAATTTGTTCTTGCAACACACAACACACACACGCTGGCGCGCGGTACCGCTCGGTAAATTAGGTGCCTGCACCGCCGCGACCCTCGTCGACATAACAGCAGAGCATGTCCAAAGCGGGTGGGTAACCCATGCTCGTCGCTCTCTGTTCCATACACGCGAGACTGACCAAACAGACATTTCTTCAACTTACGGAAAGACCCACAAACAACCTGTGGTTACTAATTCTGCAAATTGTGTTCGTAGTCTACATATGCAATATACCTCAACAGGTAGGGTATACAGGCTTCGGAGCTACTGCCTGCTGCCGCTGCTGTGATGGTCAAGCTCTGTTCCATTTGTCAAGTCCATGCATGCACAACCGTCAACGTATCAACCACTGCTGTGGGAGGTACTTCAATGATGACATGCATCCGCATGTACTCAGGGGGGTAGTACTGCTGTGTGGCAGGCCCTCTCACTTCGCTCGGCGTACTCCGAGACCACGGGAGGTGCTACAGAGGTCTCCCATGGAAATGTGCTCAGAAGGAGAAAGACACGTGAAAGGAGCAGCGAGTGTCTGCGGTAGGCTACAGCGGTAGCAGGCAGTATCCTGAGAAGCGTACAGATAGCGCTCGCACAAAGGAACTTCGCAGTTGAAATTAAAACCCGAAAAAAATCACTATTAGCTGAATAAGAACTTGCGCACCGTTTGTGAGCCCGGCCAAGAACCCCTTTCCTTAAAAGTTACTTGTACTTGTGTATGTCGCTTCCGTTTGTAGAAGCCCACAAAGAGGATAATCAGCAAAATAAAAACGCCAGCCTCGGCCGCAACTACAGAGGTTCTTATGTGCGGGCGCCATCTGTATTCGTACTCGTTGTTGTTGTGAATGGACGCGCTGCGTGTTTGGTTCTTGACTACAGCCCGCACGGACCCGAGGGAAGCGATCCATGACATCCAACGGGCACCCAACTGCTGCTGCTGGTGTGAAGCCGGATGGCCACCAGACACACTTACGTTCGAATGAATCCCGGTAGCTACCTGCAACAACCGGTCGGTGGAGAAGGATGCTGTGTCTGCGTAGATACTGGGCGTGAGCTAGCTACCAAGCGACGTCTAGATTGGCAGAATTGGTGGCGCAGCACCGCAGTCACGCCTCGGGGCCCAGGTCTCTGCTGGGAAACGTCGGTGCTATGCTACGCTATGTGCTATGATGATGATGGTTTCCGGGATCGCTGCTGGCTGGCTGTCGAAGTTTTAACGGGTGACCGGCGTGTACGTGTGTGTGGGAACACCGATGTGAGGGCTTACACACATGTACGCAGCCGTCGGGTAGCCCAGAAGGCCAGCCACTTTGAACGAGGGGAAATACACACACTCACGCCGTGGCTCTCTCTCACCTTTAGCAAGTCGTGAAGGATGTACGGAAACCCATTCCCGGATGCCATCTCTCCTGCTGTTGATCGGCGCTCTCGCAAAACTCGGCAGGACACACACAAACACAAAAAAAGACACGCACCGCCGGGTCGCCAAACTGAAGACACGGAACAGTGGCCGAAAGTTGTGCCAAATTCCAGAGGAAAAACAAACGTTTCGATATTGCATCCAACCCGGACGTTAGCTCAACGAGTGAGGGTTGCTCCGAGGGCGGTTTCGATAGGGTCGGAACTAAAGGTAGAATACCGTGGATGTGTGGCAAACGGTGACCTGCTGTCCGAGAAAACCCAGAAGGCCTCTCAAGAGATGTGACTGTTCATTTTGTGTGATGACGTCACGTTCCATGGAACTGGTCAAGCCCCCGTACGCTATTTGCTGCAGGATAACAACTGAAGGATCTTCTTCTACGGGCTAATGTCGTGAGCTCGAACACAGCAGTAGAGAGGTGCTCTACACCAGGCAGAGGGATCTCGGTGGGCTCGGCACGCGAGCACATCAACGCCCCCTTGTGGCAACTAACTGCTGTAGTGTTTCTCGCACAGCACAAAAATCTTCTTTTGGAGTACACTGCTTGCTCTGCTGTGAACCCATAAATAGGATCTTGTCAGTAATGGATGATGGATAGATCAAGATTTAGAATTCTTCGTGTAGACTATATGAAACAAATAAAAACACCGCAACCGCCGACCGGCCGACCGCAAAGATCTGCGAACAACACAGCTGTGTTACAGCAGCAAACCAGCGAGGTGCTTCGCGTGGATCTCTCCCCAACAATCAATGTCTTTGCTATGTCTCCTGCTGTTCCTGCTGCTGCTGCTGCTGCTGATGGTGCTGATGGTGCTCGCTACTGGGGCGAACGAGTCGCTAGAATTAGTGCGCTCGTGTGGGTCGGGAATGCTTGCAGCGTATTGTCCTGTTTGCTCCGTTACTCCCATGCCCTGGTGCGTAGTTCCTGGTGCTGGTACGTTACCCTTTGATTTTTTCTTTAGGCGGGCGTGGGAAGCGTCCTCCTATATTTTGATTTATTTTTTATTTTCTTCAGATCACACAACAAATCCATCTCTATCTATATAAGTCTTAAGAGTATTTTTGTTTTTGTTTTCTCGAACGGTCGGTGCGGTACCTGTCATTTTCTTTATATCATTTTGTTTTCATTTTCCGAGTGGTTTGTGCCCTATTTTTGTTTTGTTTCCCCGCGGCGTCGTATGTACGTGCCGGGTTTTGAGATCACGGGCTCCCCTTTTTTTGTGGACAACAGAGCTAATGTGAGAAACCAACAACAACAACTAACTGCATAGTGGAGCTGTACTAGTGACACATGTGACATGGATGAACGTTTCGAATTTCGGTTCTTTTTACCCGCCCGTGGTGCTGTGTCACTGCTCCTCAGTAAGACAAGTTGTATGTCCGGTGTCCAGTATTCGTTCTAGGAAATGTAGAACATATAGGCAGACCTTCCAATTTACATTCCGTCGCAACCAAGGTTCGCCGATCTGTCGGGAAGATCATGGCAGCACCAAAGAACAACAGCCGCACGACGGCAGCGGTGCCGATCATCTGCATGGTGTACAGCAGTAGTAGTAGTCTTCTGAAGATATATTAGACTCTCCGCGATCCTGAAGATCAATTCATTCGTCCAGGCAGCAGCGCAGCAGGTGGTAGGCCACACCCAGATCCACGCGTGCGTGCATATATGGTGGCTGGCGGTCACTTTGCTTGTTGTGAAAGCGTGACTGACAATGGTTTTGCGTAAGTATCGATTCATGCATGCTACANACCTCTTCGGGCTCTTGTACACCTTTTTCTTGCTACGTGTGCGTGTTCTTTAGATCCTCAGATGGCTCCAGCACTTTCGTGACCACGGGCCGAGAGTCTTTGCTAGATTTTGGCATTTAGCAACTGGCATACGGTTTAATGTGAAGTCAACAACAACAACAACAACACCGCTCGACTAGTCTAGACCAATACAAGAAGAACTTCCTCTGCCTACTTCGAAAATACACGCACAATCAATCACTGAACGAGACACAGGAAGGAGTAGAGTAGATGATAGACGATGACCGCGTACTCGTTCGAGATACCACATAGCAGCAGCAGATGCAGCAGCTAGTAGAACGATTTTTGTTTCTTGCCTGGACTAGATAGACTACAGCAGTAAGTGTTCGTTTGTGGCGACGAAAGCCGTTCGTCTCTGCTGGCAACCGAGCTGCCTCTGTGTGTCGGCATTGCACCAAAAGGGAACAATGAATGAATTAACGGTCCGAGCTCGGAAAAACACCGATCGATGATCATGATAACCACGAAATCACAAACAAAATCGCGCCGGCGTGGTGAACAAAAGCAGTTTAGGGGGCCGAGGAATTGAGCAATACAAGGAGAACCTTTTGTGTGCTGACGAACGGTGGTGTTGACGAACACCACATTATTATTGCCAATGGTATAGAGTAAACCAGGGTATTAACGAACACCCCCCCTTTAACGAACACTTTTTTCAAATGCACGTCCCTCGGCGCACAATGCGCGGAGCCCCCCAATTTTTTTTTTGAAATCTTCAGCTTTCCGTTAGCTTTCGTTTTAGCACCTCCGCGTGTCGATCAGGTCAAGCACTCCCGAGATACAGCACAGCCCTCACCCACACCCCTTATGTGGGGCATCTTTGCCCTTTTCGGGGTCCTGCTGCTAAGCATGGGACGTAAGAGAGTAGACCCAGAGCAGGCCCAGAAGGCTGTAGATGCGGTACGCAGCGGTGAGATGTCGCTCCGCGTTGCTGCGAGGACCTACGGGTTACCGCTAGCCTCGCTGCACGACCGTGTGAAGAACAAGGTGGCCATAGATGCGAGGGTTGGTCCCGGGACTGTCCTGAGCAAGGAGGAGGAAGATTTCGTAGAAGACGTCTTGATCTACGCCTCCCGACACTTCTTGCTGTTGGGTCGGAGGGAGCTGAGAGACGCTGTGCGCAACATCTGCACCGACGGGCGCAAGGTGCCCTGGGACCCAGACAAGGGCCCTGGGGACAGCTGGCTTGAGGGGTTTATGGCGAGACACCCGGGTTTGTCGGAGCGAGCCACCCACATCTACGAAGCAAACCGGATTAACGAAGACGGCGAGCCTCGCCTTCAAGCTTTCTACAAAGCATGGGCGGAGTACCTGGAGGAGACCAAGCTCCCGCCGGAACGCATCCTCAACACGGATGAGACAAGTGAGTTAGGGCAAGGGTTGAGGTGTCAGTAGGTGTCATTGGGTGTCAGCGGTGTCAGTATCGACTGCTGTGGGTTCGTAGGCGAAGTACCAGCAGCACTGCGATGTGTCACAACAACGCGGAGTTCTGCTGCTGC